AGCCCGTGGCGGTCGGCAGGTCTGCTGGTTCTGCGAGTGTTTCCCGGAAGAGGGAGAAACACTCTGTGCTCCGCGAAAAGAGGGCGGCGTGGTTGGGTGTGACTGGAAGCGAGGCTTCTGTGGAGATGTCGGTGTGGCACGTGTCTGCTGCGCGCTCGGGTGTTGGTGTTGAAACCCCGGTGTTTGCCGCTGAGGTAATGCCTGTCTGTAAGCGTGGGCCAGGAGCTCTCGGGTTTGGTGTGCTTGGCGCTGCCTTATCTCTGAACTGGAACTAGATCGCGGTTGAGCTGATGAGCCGTTTCTTCTTCCTCGTTTTTACCCCCTCAGGTACCTTTCAATGCGGTCGCGCTCAGGGTCGTTCACACCGACGTTGCTCCTACCAACATCATGTACGCGGTGAACGCCAGCTGGGTCGGGCTCTGCAGGATACCCGATGAAATCAGATGCCAGAGCGAGGGGCCGGTCTTGCTGACACAGACACCGGTCTGCGACTGCCTTGGCTTCGGTGAGCGAGCCCGGGAAGCCGTGGGCCGGTGCTGCCTGTCGGGTTTGGTCAGACAGGCTGCGTGCGGAGTGCCGGAGTCGCCCGCTCTTTCAGAAACAGCTGAAAAAGCAGGATGAGACCGAAGAGCAATTGGTGTTCTTTGCTGTTGCAAGCCGTGCGTCAAGTCCTCTGGTTTCTGTTGACTTGTGGGGACGGCGATGGGGAGCGTCGCTGAGCGGCACCTCTTGCAGCTCCCTTCTCGGCCTCAGCTGGGCCGCTCCCTCGCTCTCGGGATTCACACGCTCAAAAGCAGATGCCGCGTGGCTCTGCTGCCGGCGTCTGTCAGTGTCTTCTACGACTCGACCCAATGTAGCGGTTCTGAGTGTATCGGAGTTCAATACGGAGCTCCCCGAGCTCCCGTGGGAGCGCGCTGGTGAAGGTGGTTTGGGAGGTTAGCGGGTCGTGTACGCGGAGGAGCGGGGTGCGGCGGTGCAGGCGTTTCTCGGGGTGTGCCTCAAGCGCCTCTCTTGGTTCTGCAAGAGCCGTTTATTCAAAGAGCTTCAGCCGTGCCCAGTTTCACAGTCCGGGATGACTTAAGACTGAACTTTGCATGTTGGTTTTTTGTTGTTGTTGTTAATTTTTCAGGAATTGTTCGAGGGGTTGAGATGGAGAAGAAGCTTTACCACGTGCTGACACCAGTGCCTCCGGAGAACTTGAGAGCAGTGAACTGCCTGCTCCTTGGAAACGTTGCCATCCCAAACTGCGTCCTTGTGGGCCAGGTAGGAGCAGCGCGGGAGCTGGCTGAGCGCAGGCTGGCTGGCGGGTTTTCACATTTCTTATTTCTGGGGCTTAGGCGTGCCCGGGGCTGCCTGGGCGTTCGCAGACGGCTGTCTCTCTAGGAAGTTGTCCTTAACACCTAGAAACAAGGGAGAGGAGAACGTTCTTGTCGTGTTTCAGACACCAGAGCAGGGTTTGTTCAGTCGTAGCTTGTCCTTTCCACCGGTCCGCAGAGGAGAGCGCTTCCCGCTTGTTGGACACGAGTTGTTGAAGTTGTTTGCGGTTTTGTTTTTCATCTTTCCAGCAAGGAGTTGAGGGCGAGATCCCCTATGTCACAGCTGACTATAACTACAGCATCTTGGGGTCTGGGAAGCTGAAAAAGAAGAAGCATTTCAAGAGGAGGGAGTACGCGTTCGAGTGTGATTACACCTAGAGCCAGGGGACCCGGGACCGTGGGGTTGGTTTTGTACGGAGACGGGTGAGAGCTGGGTGCGGCCGTGGAAGCCCTGGGCGCTGCAGAGCTCTGAGACCCCGGGCACTTGTCCGGAGTAGATACCACAGCATGTCCGGTTTTGATAATGTTTTATATTTTGAGTTTGTATTTCGGTGTTTTGTAATAAATAGCCATTAAAAACGTTGGCTTGGTTTGAATTTTCCTCAGCTGGTGGTGACTTGGACACAGCTGATCCCGGCCGGGGGCGGTGACCGTCGAAAGCGTGCTCTGCCTCGAGCTGGGAGCCGTCGGGTCTGGCCTTGGCTCGGCTCTGGGCTCCCGAGGGCGATCTGCGGTGCTGCGAGGGGCGGCAGGAGCGGGTCAGAAACCCCTCGCTCCGCCCGGGTGACCGCAGGTGCAGCCGCTGGGGG